CTTCTGTTTTAAAACAGCACATATTAATCTAATGGAGGGTGAAAGCACTGATTTAACATTGGGAAATGGATACTATATGACTGATGTCCATGACACTTCCCTTGCCACTCAACACTGATAGACTTTCAAAATAAGACTCCAGGGACCCTACAAAATAAAAGCCTCTATATTTTTTACATATATTTATTGCCCTATATGGCTCAACATTATGACCCAAACACAACCCCATTTTAGAGAATAGACTCTAGGAGACTGTTTAAAACACACCCTAAGGCAAATTTCAAAATAAAAGCCTCCCATTTCCGCTTCATCTACTGCCCTAATAACATGGAAAAAAGAGTGATTTAACGATTGGAAAGTCATCAACTATCATTGCTGGGTCTGAACATTTTCTCTAAACACAACTCTGTTGGACTTTCAAAATAAGACTCCAGGGACCCTACAAAATAAAAGCCTCTAGATTATACTAATGCAATAATTGATGCAAATGGCTCAACATTATGACCCAAACTCTTCCAGGTTGTTTTTATTAGACTCTAGTGACCTTTTCAAAACACACCCCAGAGCAAATTTCACAATAAAAGTCTCCCATTTACTCTGTAATACAGCAGCTATTCACCTAATAACATGGAAAACCAGTGATTTAACATTTGGAAATGGATTCTATATCACTGCTGGGCATGACCCATCTTTTGATGCACATCCATGATAGACTTTCAAAATAACACTACAGGGACTCTACAGAATAAAAGCCTCTTCCTTATACACGCTCATACATTCTGGCATATTGCTCATAGCCATTTGTAATTTCATCACTGCAATGGCTCTGAGCATGCGGGCGGAGCCCGCCATTGGTGATTTCATCACTGCAATGGCTCTTAGAAGGCGGGCGAAGCCCGCCAATGGTGATTTCATCACTGCAATGGCTCTTAGCAGGCGGGCGGAGCCCGCCATTGGTGATTTTTTTCATCGCTGCAAGGGCTCCTAGCAGGCGGGCAGAGCCCGCCAACTGCGCTTTACCCACTGCGGTTCAATATGGACAAACCATATTACCCTTGTGCATCATACGCTGTGCACGTCTATTTCCCAGATTTCAGCACAAGTGGCACACAGCTCTCTTTGCCCATGACCTAGCCCTCTTTCCTTCCCTCAGCAGCCCTCAAAGGCGTAAGCAGTTGGTCTGGGGAGCCCCAATGTCACTTGCCAGGGCCGTATAGGCCCAGTTACCCAGACGGGCAGTAGGTGGCCCCCCTCAAAATTTCTTTAGAAATTTTCTAGTTTCTAGATTGTTTTTGCAGTGTACTTATTTAAGATTAGTTCTGTTCACATAAAATCTTTTCAGTACACTAGTGTATGATGGTTTATGTGGAGTTAGATTTTAGGACTGTTTACTTGTTTCAAGGTTCTTTTGTTTCGAATGGTTTAGCAGAGCAGTTACATCCCGACACATATGCACATTGTAATGTCCAGAATCTGGATACACTTACTTACTTGCAACTAAATCTATGTTTCATTTGCTACTATTAACAAAAGGGTAGGACTTACCTATTAGTATCTAGTTATTTTGCTACTTCATATGAAAAGGGTCTTTTAATGACTGGGCAGAAAATTTAGGATTGTGGATCAAATTCTAAGAGACATTCCTTATCCATTACAACCAAAGCTGTCAGGTAACGAAGTACAAATACCTCATTACTGTAGTTAAGTACACTTTTTAGGTGTCTATACTTTACTCCATTACTTATTTTTCTTCCTACTTCTGACTTTTACTCATTACTTTTTCTCACAAGTATCTTTACTTTCTATATGTTACATTTGTAAAATAAATGTTACTCATTACTCTTGGTTTCAGTTTTATGTTTATAAATATTTATTTTACATCATGTGCACCATCCAATGCAGATCATTGGCTCCATCCACATCTAGTGAAAACTAGTGTAATTGGATGAGTCATATAACTCAAACACTCATTGGTTAGTTAAAAGAAATCATCAGAAGCAAGCAGGTGTTCTTCAAACTGCAAAAGTGAATTGTCTATGCCATGCTACAATGTCGGATTCAGAAAAAGATGTTGAAATGTCTGAAAGGTCGGACACAGGCGAGAGCGTATCGGGAGATGAAGACGGAGACCAACAAGTACTCCCTTATCCTTGGCCCTATCTCAGAGAATTTTTCAAAGTAGTCGAAAAATTTAGCTTTCAATTCATATAGTGGCATCTGGCTGTTTTTGTTAAAGGTTACTTTATACTTTTATATTTTAAGTAGTTTTTGGAGCACATACTTTTTTCACTTTTACTTGAGTAAAGAGCTCAAGTTGATACTTCAACTTTTACTAGAGTGTTTTTAAACTGCAGTATCTATACTTCTTCTTAAGTAACAAATGTGTGTACTTTTGACACCATTGATTACAACCTTAATATATTTTTCATATACAAGCTGAATATGCTTTGTTTCAACTTGAATCCTGATTGCAACTTTAATGCTGCAAATACTTGAGCTCTAAAGTATTCAGCCGCCCTTGTAGGACTTCAATCTATATTTTCCTGTTCTAAAATGTTAATTCAGAACAAAACCAGTCTAAGTCAGTATATTTTAAATCATTGCCACCAACACAGTGAACAAAGTAGGAAAATATCATCTTTTTTCAAAAAGGTAACTGTATTTTTATTTGAGAAAATAATGTGAGTACTTTACTTTTGACACTTTTGCATTTAGAGCAGTTTGATTTCATTTAATGGCCAAAAAAAAAAAAAAAAAAAAAAAAAAAAAACACTACCAGGTTGATTTTGGTAAATTTCTTTCAAACCACATTTAGCGTTGAATACAATTATTTTCCGCGCCTTTTAAAAACATTTTAAAGGTAAAAGAATCATTGCAGCAAAGCATTTTAATGGATGAATATGTGAGCTCCTGGTGCCAGAGCTTCAGTGCGCCTTTTCGGATCGGCTTTAGGACCCAGGTGCGCAGCAGCCTGCAGACACCGGTTGATGCGATGGTCCACTCGCTCCTTCACGGCTGATCATCTCACAAAGAGACGCTTTTTCCCAAAGCCTGACAGTCAGCCGAAAAAGAAAAAACCTCGGCTGTAACAGAAAACCAAGTAGAAGGAAGGAAGAGCGCGTTTAGAGGCTGGTATTCTGTCCGCCTGCGTGGCCGCGCACTGGGGGAAGAACAGCCGCGGTTTATCTCATCAGCTACAGACACCATGAGCCAGAGGTTCACCGTCTCCAAGAGCGACCGGCGCCCCTCTGACATCCAGGGGGAGGTGAACCAGCTGTTTGAGGGGGATGAGCCGTCAGCCTGCAGTGATGCTGCGGGGGAAGCCGCTCCTGCAGATGCAGAGGATGTGGTTGTGGTGCTGAAAGGTAGGAGATCCAGTTAATGTCACCAAAAACAGACTCCAGTCTTCCCACTGCAGCTTGTTAGCTGGTGGCTAGAACACTGTCTCTTAGTGATACCACATTGTGTGAGTGTGTGACTGGAATACCTAATAAGCTCTAAGGGTAAGGTCTGGTCAAAAACAGACAGAGGCTACAAGGGGTGCAGATGTGCCCCCCTCTGTGAAACATCTGCATGAGCACTGGTCATGATAAAGAATGGGCTGCCTTATGTGTAGTTTTAATTTTTGATTAATAGTGATTTTCTATAACATATAAACATGCATCCATACATCTATATGCAACATTTAAAAAATGATAGTATTTTACTAAGCTTGCATCTTTTTTCTTATTTAATTTTCTTATTTAATTTTAGTTTTTTAGTGTCAGGACTTTATCTCCACACTAACCTATTGTTCTGTTAGGGTTTCTCTGAAGCTATTCTCTCAGATGTTTTTTATTTATTTCTAACCATGCTTAACATTTTTTATCAGAAGCCATTTGTAGATGTGTCAAAGTCTTTATGTTATCTTGGACTCAACAAAGAATGATTGTCTTTTATCTCTCTTCTTTCTGGGTTATACACAATGTTTGTTATACACATTCCCCTGTTGTATTTCAAGGTTTGCATTTGATTAATGCTACATAAAAGATTCTCAAACTTTTTTTCAAAAATCTTTATACATTTTAGTCATTTTGTTTTTTTCCTCTGAGTAGTAACAGTCTGGTCTTCTGCACGGCTCTTCTGTGCACCAGTGCCTCAACCCTTTCATTTGCTCTCCTTATTGAAATGACCAAGGTCTCATCAGTCAATGTGTGCTTCGAAAGCAGCAGTGCAGAACAAATAGTCTCTGAAATTCACAGTTGTTCAAGAACAAAGGCCATTTTCCGTTATTAATGATAAGCATTTTAAAGAGCGCCATTATTCAGGTCCAACTAAGTGCCAATAAGGATTTGCAATTCATTATAGGAATCCATACAACTTGTAGAATACCTGACCTTTAAAAAATGGAAACATTTTTATAAATTGCTATAAATCCTCTAAGATTTCATGCCGTTAAAAAAGCTTAGTGTTTTAGCCTCAGTCATTTAGTCACATAAAGGATTTATCAGCATAAAAAAGCTGTCAAACTTATAATTAACGTTTTTCCCTTTTAAGTGGTTCCAGTGCTTAATCAGGGCCAGTAGTTTACAGTAGCCATTTTTTCCCCCTGCTTCTTTCAAGCTGTAAAATTGCCTTTTCTGCAGCAATATCAGGCCTGTGTTAGATTCAGGAATCTCATGAATTAGTTTTGATTTGACAGAGAAAAGTTTTTGATCCAGCTCCTTTTTTTAAACAGACTTTACATATTTAAAAAAAAAATCATATAACATGCTTCTTTTGTTATAAAATATAGCTGAAAAAAAACACTGCTTCAAAGCGAAGCCAACCCTCCCTTTCTGGGAGATGATGTCGTCGTATAACGCTACTTCTAAAGGCTGAACAAAGTCTGGCCAGAAAAAAAAAAAAAGATTTTCATGACATTAGCTCAAAAAGAAAAATTTATGTTTTCCGCAGTTTAGTACTGAAAAGAGCCTCTATTTTAAATTTGATTCAGAATTATCGTGTTCTGCCTCATGTCACCCCTGAATGGAAAAAGTGGGCATTTGTTTACAGTGCAGGCACAGCGCAGTGAAGGTAGGTGCTTACTGAAGGGGGAGGGTTTACGTTATTATTCTCCAGGCGCTCATTTGTCCAGGACAGTGAGAGGCTGCTCCTCAGACAGCAGAATTCCTGATAATTATTGCATTATTAAAGTAGAATATTAATTTGTGTTTTATTTTAAAGAAGATAACATGTTAAAAAGCCCCAAAAGCTGATTTTGCATGGTAACACTTTTCATGGATGTATTCAGGTCAGTGGATCACTGTTGTCTCTTTTATTGACTGAATTTTATTTCTTTAAGTCATTTATTCAATAAGTGATATTACATGAAACAAATAGGCCCTTGTTTAGGAATTTTAAAGAAATAATCTAAAGTTAGCTTGAAATGTTGTGCATAACTGGCATGTGCATAATTTTGATAAGATGTAGCAATTCCTATGTAAAAGTTTTTACGTACAGATTTTTATTGCAGTTTCTCCTATAAATTTCACATACAGGCATTAATTTCTTTCCTTTATTTTTGTATCATCCACTGTATAGATCTGGATACACTGTACATTATGCACCTTTTGCTCCTTTGTGCAACTTCTGTTTTTTATAAGAGCTGATGTCACAAGTAAATTTCTCTATTGTGAGACCAATACAATTTAATAATCTAGTTTGGGGGGATCGGTAGTATGATTACAGTTGAGATGGACTTTCTGTAGTTTAACACTTTTATAAACAGAAAGCATTAGTGAGAGGCTTATGCAGTGGTAAGGAACCCATATTAGGTAAAAGACATCTCCCTATGGTGGTTGTCAATCTGTGGAGAGATATGTCTTTGTTTATTTATTTTTCCAAATATAATTCGGTAAAATGTAACTCTTGAATCAAAGTAGTTTATTCTGTTAAATGTCAGTTTTTTCAAAGCATGTCAATACATTTTTTGAGCAATTTGTTTACTGTATGCTTTAACATGAATACTTTTTAAAGTTGTAGGGAAATTATATTTCAATGTCAAATGATTCTGGCTTAAACATGTATGTAAATGTACTATTTATCAGACCATATTTTCCAAAATTTAGAACATTTTGATTTAGAACAAAAATCCTGTCTTAAAATCTTTTTTTATTTTGTTATTTTATACAGGCCACTTAGGTTTATGTCAGCTTGTACACCATAATTCAGCCAATCATGAATCAACAGTCATCTGTCAATCACATTTTTTCGGTCATAGCATCTTGATTCATATATTCCAGTTAATATACGCAACAGTTGAAATAAGAATCATTGTTCATGGGGATGGACGTCTGTGTCTTCAGCAGGCGTAGAGCTAACAGAACTGGCAGCGTTGCGAGGCAAGGGCTCAAACATGTACGGCTGTAAGCCTTCTACACCAAACCAAGCTTCTGCCGCTTTTGCCTCTTCCACAACAACATCGTCCCCGTTTTCCTGCTCTAAATTAAAAATGTATGACGGAGGAGACTCATCCACGACCTCCGACACTAAACTCTCCTCCTCTTGCATGTTTCCTCTGTCCATAGTGTTCCTTGACAGTGTAGTTTCTAAGTCGCCAATTTAGTGACTTCTGAGACACCAGCCACAACCGGACACAACCAAAATCTTGTGAACCTTTCACCACAACAAACCCGCCCCCTTGATAATCGACCAATCACATTCACTTTATTCACTCGTGTAAAGTTGTGCACCTCTCGGGAAAATTCAGAACTGCAGCAATACTTCCCTAAGACTTTAAAAGCACTATATAATAGAAATAATGATAAAAATTTTTTTTTTTATGTGTTTTTAGAATACATTTTTAAGCTATTTGCCTGAAATAATTGTAATATATTTACCATAAATTGCTAATTATTTTCAGTGAATTCCCTCAAATGGCTTAAAAGAGAATTATATGGGATGCTTTTTTCTTTTCATTTGTAAGTGCCCCCCTTTTTTTCTCCGTACAAATGTAGAAAATCTCATTAACATTCTGTGTAGCTCTTCTTTATTGACCCTCAAGGTTCATTATAGTGGAATTCACCAGAAGCAGAATGGCTTGTCATGGAGTTTTATGGTATTATAGAAGTGGCATTACATATAAAATATAAGCAAAGCTAGACAGAGGCATATTAAAAATGTTTTTTGATTATAGCAGCTTATACATGTGTGACAAGCTTATGTCAGTAGATATTTCTTCAGTTCCTATGTGGCCTACTTGATGAGTAATTCTGGTATTTTTATGTTTAAGAGTATAGCTCTGTTTTGTTTTTGCCCTGTATTTGAGTTTTCTGGTGGTTTTCATAGAAAGGATGATGGGAATGGATTTACTCTTTACCCTGTTTATACGTGTGTGTGTGTGTGTGCTGTACTTACATAATTTGCTGAGTGCTTTCAAAACCTGCACGTAAATGACTTGTCATATTTTCCAGTTTCCAGTGTTTTGTTTTTGGTCAGGCAATATGTCTAATAACCTTAAGTAAATAATGGCTTACAAGAAACTTTTCTTCTAAATTCAGACTAAGTAATTTAGTCAGTTGTTTGCTCATCCTCATAGGACTTGTTAGAATTATGTCTGCTACTTGCATACGCTTGATTGACTGTCATTAAACTATCATCTAGTTGTTTTTTTTACAAAATAAAACTAAATTCTAAAATTTGAAATGGCTTTAATGTTACAACAGGCTTTATAGTATTTCAAATTCTACACATTGTACAGCTGTTCTGTACGTTTTTCTATAATATGGAGTGAGCAACAGATTGATAGATTACATACATTTTTATAAACAATCACTGGTTTTTCATCAGTGATTCAGTTTAGATAGTGTTATTTTCTGTATTATTCTCTTGAATGCAGCTTAACTTACAGTATTCTAGCTGCCACTAGGTTGAGACACAGAGGCTTAGCAATGTAGAAATTACAGACACACTGTTTTTGAAAGCCAATCAAAGATTTATTTGTCTGTAGATTGTTTTGGGTAATAAATCGCTGATTTCATGGAAACTTTTGACTGCAGCGGTTTCTGCTTACATGACCTTTTTTACCAAGGTTCCATAAGCCTTGTAAATATCATTAATTAAAGCAGCAGGGCACCAAGTAAGTGAATAAAAGCTTTAGATTAGAATTCCATCTCTTTGCTTTAGTCCCATAAGTAGAATCATAATGTCTCCTCAGCAGTTTTTCCTTGAAAGTGTTCCAGTGTGATGAACAACCCTATGAACAGAAAAATGGCAGCACGGCTCAGTGAGAGCAAATCTTACCATATGTTCACCATTTTTAGAGGTTGAGGTCCTTTCTGAAGGAAGCAGTCTAATAAATGCATTGACTAGTGGAGAAAGAGTGCCCCTGCATCCCTTTTGTGGT